ATGAACTTGGAGGACATTATCCTGACTGAAATAAGTCAGTCACTGAAGGACACATACCGTATTAGTCAGCTATTGTGAAAAGTCAAGGAAAGGTTTATATATGGAAGGAAACTTTCTTTGTTGATTACCAAGGGTGGAAGGGGAAGGGAGGGAACACTGCTAGATAGGTAGAGACAAATATTGAATTGGTTGAAGGGAAAGGCAATGCACCAAATGTGAGTGATCAACACAGTGGCATCGAGGAAGAAGGCAGAGGTATATAGGTGATACAGATAACTAAGATGAACCTTTTTGCACATAGAGTACTGCATTGTCAGTGATGGCAAACATTGATATATGGGTGACTAGATAAGTGGACAGGCCGAATGATCAGGTATGTCTAGGCATGGGGGAATGTGCCCATGACCATGTATAAGGTTGGTAGACAATGATTCTACAAATGTATTTGTATGTTCTGTAAGAATGTCCAGGTATAGAGTAGAGCTGACAAGAGATAAAGTTGTGACTTCTTGGCCACAGTCAGCTACTTGGAGGGAGCGAGTAGTTGGACCTGTGATCTTGGGACCATGGTCTCACAGGAGACATCAAGCTCAATTGGTAAAATATACTATACAGAAACATTGTTCCACATTCTACTTTGGTGAATAGCAACTGGGATCTTAAAAGCTTGCAAGTAGCCATCTAGATGCAACAGTGGGTCTCTCCTCATCCAGAGCAAAGAAGACTGAAGAAAATGAAAGATGCATGGAATTAATTAGTCCAAGGGACTGATTGACCATGAGATCCTCAGCCTGTATGACTATGAGACCAGAAGAAGTAGATGGTGCCCGACTGCCACTGTCAACCACTTGGAGGGTTATCTATGTAAGAGATTCTGGATAGAGAGGGAGAACAAAACTCAAAATTATTAAAAAAAAAAAAAAACCAGACCATGCTTGGTGAAACCCCTGAGACTATGGCCCCAAGCTGCCCTTCAGGTCTGGAATTGAACTCCTATGGCTTCCAGCCAAATAAAAGACCAGGATGTGGGCTGAACATTTATATCAGATAGATACATTCCTTTAAGATCAGTCATGTGAGAATAGAAGGGCTGTGTATGCACAGGAAGACAGTTCGGGGGGGCGGGGCAAAAGTTCATGGGAGGGTAGGACACAGGGTAGAAGTTACTATGGGGAAGAAGTGGGAAGAGAGCTGTTACATTGTGGGAAATTGCAGTCAATGTCATGAGACAATGTGTATGAACTGTTGTATGGAAAATGAAATTGCTCTGTAAACTTTCACCCAAAGCACAATAATTTTAAAAAAGTAATAATAATAGAGGAAAAAAGCTTTCAGTAAAATCTTGGTTATCCTACAATTTTTTAAAATTTGATTCCATTTGACCAACAAGTTTTATAAGCATGTAATTAGCCTGTAGCTATAAAATCAGATAATTGGCATATGACATTATTTCTAGAATTGCTGTTGTGGAGTTATTGTGAGAATTCATTAGAGCACTTAATATTTAATACTTTGCCAGAGCCCTGCAGATATCTCTAGATTATTTGGGGAATTTTTTTTTTTTTTTT